GAGCTGCGGGCGCGTCCCGGGGGAGCTGCGGCAGCGCCCGCCGGGAACCGTCCTGGAGCCGCTGGTTGCCGTTCGGCTCATTGTTTGGTCCACAATGAGAAATCTAGGAGCAGGGTTTTGTTGTGCTTGCTTTGTTTGTTTTCCCCCTGGTGTCGGTGGCGGAGCTGCGGGCTGGTTGGTTTGGGTTTGTTTGAGGGTTTTTCGTTTTGATCTGGGGTTTAGCGGGATTGGTGATGAGCGAAACTCACTGTTGAGGACTGTTACGATCTCCCTGCAGTAGGCAGAACTCGCATGCCAGCTTGTTGGTGTGATGAGAACGAACTTTTAGATTGTACAGATGATGTTTGCTTGAGTCAGAACCTCTTTTCTTACGAGGTTATTACAGGGGACATATCTGTGAAATGTATATACCAGCTGGGCTTCTGAGCCCTTAACTGTCTCTTCTTCCCTTCTCATTTCAGACGAGGGGAAGATGCTTTTTCTTCTTAACATTCTCTCCCAGCACTCTGAATTAGAGATTTATTTGCAACGAAAAATCAATTAGTCCTAAATTTATTCATGGATTTCAGGTCCAGCGATCAATGCAAGTCCACTCAGTGGGCTCAGGGGGACCCAGTTCATCCCAGTTAATGTGTCTGAAGGGGAATTACCATTGATGCTGTTTTTTTCCCCTTAGGTCAGAGATCAGACCTTGCTGTCACGGACTGCGGCAACCAGGAATGACTTCACCCTGCAGCTACCCAAACTGCACCTAGAGACCTTTGCAGTGGAAGGGCTGAAGGGCAGACCAGAGGTTGTAGCATTTCAGGTCAGAGTCTGAAATAATCCTGTTTCTTTTTTCAGCTGGACTGCTCTGGGTGTGTGGTAAACAAAAAGCTTCAAAACTATTGCAGTCAATCACGATATCAATTGCAGTTGAACGATAAATAATTTCCAAATGCACTCTTTGATAAGTTATTTCAGAGATGATACAAACTTCTAATCTTGCAGTTACAATGTTAAATAACTGACGGGAATGTGAAAATGGAAACATGTAGATGTTATTTTTGAAAATTAATAACGCTCTGTTCCATCCCCCTGTTTCCTCCGCCCCTTTTAAGCAAGACAAATAAAATAAGGGGGAAAAAAAAGACAGGCTTTTAAGTAATAGAGGGTTTTGAGCATTCCTAAATTAAGCATAACTGATATTTGTAATACTTAAATGTAGAAGCTGTTTTGTTCATCTATGTATAAGGACTTGTATCATTCAAAATACTGATTTTGTTAGAAGGAAAACGGGGAAAAAAGAAAAATTAACTGAAAATGTACATGCTTTCAGCTTTGAAAATGCATTTTGTACCTCCTTACTGTTTGTAAGTTTGTTATGTTTTACACACAAACTGTCCCTTAGTCTTTATAGAGATGCAGAATCACTTCATTTTTGTGATACATTATTCCTAAAGGCAGAACATTTTGTTTTCTCAGTGAGAGAAAGGCAGAGTGAGTACATGGTTCTTTAATTGTGCTGTTCCATGTGAATCAGAGAGAGGAAAAGCTAGTTGTGCAAACTGCAAGGGCCATGCAAGTATTGCACAGTGTGTCTACTTTTCTGTAGCAGTCCTTTTTGATTTATTGTAGATTTTCTGTTCTAGGTGCAGTATGTAATTGCAGGAACAGGGTCACAAAATCAAACATTCAAGAAAGACAGATTCTCATCCGGACATTTCTCATGGTTGCCATCTTGCATGCATGGGTTTTGATATGATAAAGATAAAAATTATATCTGTATTATCGCATTATTTGCAAACCAAAGCAGTAGTACATAGTACTTGAGACTTTTAGTTAGGACAGCTGGACATCTCTAGCAAAGAGTAGAGTTGCAAATGTTTCCCCAGTACAGCGATGATCCCTTTAAGGCTGTGCAAAAGGTTCCACAGGTGGCATCTTTTCCAAGAAGCTGCTGTAGGCAATCACCAGCTTTTAAATACTGGTTTTCTAATTTGGTAGCCTATACAGCGATAGCTGTGAGTTTGTTTTTTTATTGTCCCATCCCCACTTCTGTCCTTTTTTAACCTCAGAATGATTGTAGAAGCACTTGCAAGACTGCCTGTTCCTTCCTTCTTTTTAACAAGATGAAGAGAAGCAGAAGAAGTTGCATTTGACATTTGTACAGAGTGTTTGTGGAATAACTAACAGAGAGCAATATATGCGCTGGGTAGCATGGTGGTGCAGTATTGTAAACATACTTTTTGTTCACCCAGCAGCTCCAGTTACATATGGTTACCCTTTACATGCACAAGCAGCATCAAGGGTTCACAGTCTATCTCACTGTCCAGTTCCTTCTCTCCTTTTCCTCTCCTTACCTTGTCTCTAGTTAGATAGTGCCTGTTTGTTAACCTTCTAATCATGTTATAGAGTTTTGTTGTAAAATTTCCCTTTTAAAGCTAGGAGTCAGCTAATTGACTTTAATTTCACTGTATTTAAAAGTATATTAAGGGCAATCCTGCAATCTTGAATGAGGTAAGCAGTGAGAAGTGTCCATAAAGTGATTACTTACTGAAACCAGTGTAATTGTTTGCATGCATGGTCCATGTTATAACTGCTGCTATTATATGTGCTTTATACTTAGTCTGTGCCAGGTACATTCCAGTTAAAGGCCTTATTGTCTCCAAGTGTTAGACATAAGGAGTTTTTTTCCAAGTCTAAATTTATTGCTATTTGATGGCTTCCTCTTAAAAACGGCATAAAAATTAAGACCTGCAGTTAGACAGTATTATGATTGGGATGAAGCACTGGCACAGAAAACTGCATTGTTTAATTTTTATTATTCCTGCATCCAGTTTGTAGTAGATGGCTGGATTCAGTAATTAATAATAAACTTATAACCATTGGATCAATGTATATAATTTTTCATTATATGAGAGTTCCCCACAGAGAGAAAGGAAAAAAGCTTGCATATTTGTATGCACATGCACATCTGCATAGGTTATCTTTTTTTTTTCCAAATTTTTTTCACATAGCAGGTGTCTCTTAAAGGTGTTTTGAATGAAATCTGCTATTCTTAGTTTACTTGGTGGGCTCAGCAGCGTTAGGGACCTGTATTCCGTGTTATCTGGAATACGGGAAGTCTTAGAATTTGTAAATTGCTGTTATCTCTATATGAATGTTTCTTAGGAAAAATACGCTTTCTTTATAGGAGACAAGTGAAAAGAAGATTGGCATAATGAACTTAAGTTGCTTGACTGTCACTTGCTATCAGAGATTTGCTTTTTTTGTGGCATATTTAATTAATCATCTTGTAAAACCAGAAGGTTGTTTTATCTAGTAGATGGACCTGACATTCCAGGTACTACTAATGTTTACAGGGTTGATCAGACAAGCCCACAAATAAACCCCTTGTCATTCCCAAATGAAAAAAATGGTTAAACTGTATTGGAAATGGTATGCATCTTGTAAAGAACGTGTTGTACACTCTAGTGACAGACCTTTAGCTAATGAAATTAAGTATTTGGCACACAAAGTTCTGTGTATCTTCTCCAAAGCCTGCATTTTATGTAATGATTCTTGAATTGCAAACATACATAAAAGATTGAAATGTAAGTCATTCAACAAGGATATCCTTGCACTAACTTTCTTCTAAAGCCCCGAGCAAGTAGTGAAACTATGACCAAATTTCTAGGTGTTTGTTTTGTTCTTGGAAACTGTAACAAAAAGTACCAAAATAGTTTGAAAATGTCACTTCAGTTGGATAACTAATGGAAAAAGTGCAGTATCTTGAAGAGTGGAATGATATGATTGCTAGAGCTTTGAAATGCTCTCACCTGGTTTTAATAGCCATGAAGGATGTTATGTCACAAAGTTAGTTTGTAACTTACCTAGGTTTAAAAGTGGAAATTATAGTAGTAGTCACAAGCACCTGAAACACGTGAGGATTTAAGGTATGCTGTGCTGGCCATACGTGAATGTTCCCACTGCAGACAAAAGGCGGAACATCCGCAGCATGTCTGAAAGAGATACTTGTGGCTGTGTGATGAGGCAGCCGCTGATGTTCACATGTGGTAGCTGCCTGCAGATGTGAAATTAGGGAAAGGGTTGTAGTTTTCTGTGACATGGGAACTACCTTGACCTCTGTCTTCAAAGTCTCCATTTGCATATTTTATTAATTGGCCCTATTAATTTATGGTGGTTGCTTTTGATCAGTATTTGGCATGGTAGGCCTCTTACTTCTTTGGTCTCTGGTTGCTAAAGAATATGACTTCTGGATGTTGATTTAGAAGAATACCAGTATTCACAGGTGAACTTGTATTGCTGTTTTACAGGATTTATATGAATTAAAGAATCCAAATGGACAAGTTTCGTGAGTGACTTTAATGAGGATATGAATATTTAATGCATTTATGTGGTGTATGAAAAAGGAGATGTGAGGATGAGACTATAGGCAGGCTTCTAGTATAAAAGCACTGCATATATATGTATTTTCAGTATTTATAGGTCTTAGAAAAAAGCATTTTTTTTGTTTGCTGCCCTTCTCAGATGTAAGGTTGTCCAGACTGTTGAGAATTCCTTTTTTTTGTTTGTTTTTGTTTGTTTGTTTGTTTTTTGTTTTGTTTATTATAACCAAGGACTTGAGTAGGTAAATCTCTGTTTTTCATTACTAAGCTCTCCCTTAATTCTGAAAGATACTAAACACTTGTGGTGTACTTTCTCTGCTTGAAGTTGGTTTGAGATGGAGTTCTCACTTTGTCATGTCTCTCTGTCTCTGCGTCCCTCTCCTTTTTCTCTCTCCCTCTGCCACACGAACTTGTTTGCTGCTGCTGCTGTCTGTCCACCTGCTCTGCGTGCACACCCTCCACTGCTCGTGTGCACTCTCTGCTGCACACATGCTCTGTGCTTTGTGCACACTGCTATGCATGCACTCACTCTCTGATGCTCTTTCTCTCTCCCTGCTGTGCCTGCTCTCTCTGCTGAATGCACACTTGTGCTTTCCACTGGTCCATCTCTGCCTGCTGCTCTGCTTTGGTGTCTCTCTCTTTCACTCTCTGCACCTCTCTCCATATCTAGCTTTCCCATTCTGGCTCTATCTCGCTTGCTCTACCTCTCTCTCTTATCTTTCAGTTCCCATGGGGCCTCTGGCTCCCTCCCTCTCTCTCTCCCTGTTCCTCCCACCCACCCCATCTTGTCCCCCCTCTCTTGCTCCCCCTCTTTCTCTACCTTCAGCATGAATCCATCTGTTCATGCAGGTTTAGGAAGTTTTGAGGTAATTTGAAATGAAGGGTACAGTAATAATGTAAACACTTACAGTGGTGGTAGTACTGTAGTCATATACTGACCTATCTTCAGGGTTAGCATACAATCATTATAAATTTAAGAAGGAGTAGGTTGTTACCATTTGTTTTATGTAAATAATATGTTCATGTAAGATTTGGCCATGCGTTATCCGATTGCATATTAGGTCCATTTTTTCTAATTCATTGCACAAACGTAAATGTAGTTTGAAGCGTTAGGATCTTCTTAATTCGTATTTATTTTCACTAGGTCATTAATTTTAGATTTATTCTTGATAGATTAAAAGGTAAAAAAGATGCATAACTCTGCTAATGTTTTTTTTTGTCAAAAAATAGGATCCTAGAATGGTTTGGGTTGGAGGGGACCTTAAGGGTCATTTAGATCCAACCTCCCTGCCGTGGGCAGGGACACTTGCAACTAGATAATCTTACTCTAAAACCCATCAAGTCTGGCCTTGAACACTTCCAGGGATGGGGCTTCCACAGCTTCCCTGGACAATGTGTTCCACTGTCTCACCATCCTCACATTAAAGAATTTCTTCCT